TTGATGTTGCATGTAATTATCAAGGATAAGAAATTAATGCAGGTTATTGAAGTTAAATGGGTATACATGAACAAGTTAGATGAACAGGGAAATATTACAAAGATAAGTTTATGATTGTCTCTCAAGCCTCTATATTGAATATCTGCTCTTATTTGTCACATAAATTTGATTGTTGACCAACTTTGAAATTTGAAAATTTGAATTTATGAAAATTTGAAATTATAAGTTTAAAATCTTGTAGTTTGAGATTCTTGAAATTTGAAATTTTGCAGTTTGAGATTTTTTTTTTTTTAAATTTGCAGTATGAGATTTTTGAAATTTGAAATTTTGCAATTTAAGATTTTTTGCAGTATGAGATTTTTGAAATTTGAAATTTTGCAATTTGAGATTTTTGAAATTTGAATTTGAAATTTGGAATTTGTTGGAATTTGAATTTGAAATTTGAAATTTGTTGCAATTTGAATTTGAAATTTGAAATATGGAATATGAGTGCATTTGAATTTGAAAGTTGCCTAAATAAGAAGACTGCAATTGAGGGAAACTACTGCATTTCATTCCATTATCTCTATAATCATTTTATTCCCCTATCTTTCTCTCTCTTCATTTGTCTTGAATATCCTAGATATTGTCTCCTTAATATGATGTTCTTCTTTATGACACTTTGTAATGCATTATCTTCTCTACCTTGATTTATGTACTATATGTACAAATTTGTTCTCAGTTTCTATTGCAATATTTTTCATAATTATCAATGAAACATGAAGAAATTTTGATGCTATTAATCTGTGTGAAACAGTGCAGATTTTTTCTCTTATAATATTTTTCATAATTATCAATGAAACAGGAAGATATTTTGATGATATTAATCTATGTGAAACAGGGGGAGATTTTTTTCCTCTTATAATATTTTTAATAATTATCAATGAAGCAGGGAGATATTTTAATGATATTAAACTATGTGAAACAGGGGGAGATTTTTTTTTCTCTTATAATATTTTTTTATGATTATCAATGAAACAGTGGGATATTTTTTGATGAATTAAAATCTGTGTAAAATTCTTTCCTATCTCTAAATTAAACAAGGGGAGATAAGAGAAGTTTTTTCTCATATGAGTTAGGGGGAGTCTTGTTATTAATATATCCAGGCGGAGATTAAGAGACTCTGACACTTGATACAAATCTGTGCTAATCTTAAGCTGACTATATAGAGTCAAGCATTTTAATTCATTTCAGGTGTTTCCTTGATCATCATAAAAAAGAGGAGATTGATGGAAATGTCCCTACATTCTCAAGAGATGATTTTGATGATGATTCAAGTCAACTACATTCAAGTCAAGATGAATTAAGGACAAGCTGAATTTATGACGTTGGTGAAAATGTGAAACATTTCCCTACATGCCCAAGATATGTTTTTGATAAAGATGATGATTCAAGCAAGCCCAAAATGATTCCTGAAGACTAGATAGAGTCTTAGAATGCTGGATATGGAGGTACAAGTTGATGAAGTAATATTACGCATAAGCCTCCAAAGCACAAGTGTGATAAAATTTATAACATGATATCTTTCTCTGTCATAATCAATTATGATGCATTAGAAATGGAAAAAATGATTTTCTTTGTCATAATTGATTATACTGGTAATATAATCAATTATGACAATTCAAATTTGAAAAATATATATGTTTTAAAGAATAAATATTTTTTAATACATCCTGATTTTCTCTATGATATTATTAATGTCCAATGACAATTTTCTGATGTTATTTTTCTATTTAATTAATTTTTGATGAAAAATAAAAAACACACAATTACAGAATTCGAAAATACAATTTACATTCAATCAGTTTTGAGAAAAGAATTCTGAGCAAGACAATAGAGATATTTTACACCTTTTAAGAAAACTTTCTTCCTTCTGTGCTTTCATTGTTAATCACACTTGTTCTTGGAGATTGGCATTCTACGAGCTTCTACAATTTGTTGTCTCCATTACCCAGGTGTGTTTGTTCTTATTTTTATTACCTTCATCCTTTTTGTATTGGTGAAAAGGAGGTATTTTTCATCCCTAGTGTGATTCTAGGGGGGTGTTCATCCTTAGTGGGATTATAAGGAGGTGTTTTCATCCTTTGATTTGTTCAGACGAGGTGTTCATCCCTAGTGGGATTTTAGGGAGGTGTTCATCCTTAGTGGGTTTCTAAGGAGGTGATTATCTTTTTAATTAGTTTACTTTTTACTGGTTTTTCTGATGAATTGATTGTAATTTGTAAACTGAATTTGAAAGATAGTGAATGAGGAGTCACTCTTGTGTTAAAAGTTGAATGGGAACTGGATGTAGGGTTGACTATACCCGAATCAATATAAATCTCTGTGCGCTCTTCTCTTTCCCTTATCTCTTTCTCTTTTCCTGATTATATTATCGTTTTTGCTTTATCTGTGTTCAAACAAATTATTGACTCACAAATAAATTTTTAATTTGATATCTATTTTAATTTGTGCATCTATTCACCCCTCTATATGTCATTTTTCTAACATTTATAAGTGAACTTTCATTTTCCAAGTGTATTATCAATTCCTCCATGATTAGATGGAAAATTAGAATAAAAAGTAAAATGATTTAAATTAGAGTTAATAGACATTAATGAAAAAATTGTATGTATAGCAATTGAATTGAAAAAAAAAAGTGTTGGTAGAACTTTTTTTCTTGTCTGACTCCAAATTATTCTTGTATTAAAAAAACAAAAAAGCTAAACATACAATGTACAAAATGACCCAAAGAATGGTAAGAAAATATATGAATATTACATAATGATTACGTCTCATCACTTCAGCATAAAGAAATATTAAACCATCAATTTGAGAAATGTGAGAACTTTTTTTAATTGTTTTTTTAAAATAAGAGAACAAAAAATAATTGTTTTAAAAATTAATTATTATGATTTATATATTTAAAAAATAATAAAAAATAAAATTCATGTTAGGATTTTTTTAAAATTAACTTCATAAATAATATATTTAAAAAATTATTTAATTAACTTATTTATTCTTTCATCAGCAAAATTCAATAAGAATAAAATTATTTAAAATAATATAATTATTTATTTCTTTTTTCTCTCTCCTTTCTTCTGTTTTCTTTATTCTCATTTATTCTTTTCTCACTCTATCTTATTATTTTAATTAAAAATACTAGATCAAAATAAATAAATAAATAAATAAAGACTTTTATTATTTTAAAAAATAAAAATATTATAATTACTCAAAAATATTATAATTTAATATTTTATTTTAAAAAATATTATATAATGAACCTTGATGTATTATATACATTATTATTATTATTATATTGTAATTATTAAAAAAAATATTTTAAAATAAACTTTTTAATAAATATTTTTTAAAACTATTTAATATGATTAATCGTCTTAATTCAACTTAATTATAATTATATTATATTATTAAATAAAAATAAATTTAATTCATATATATTTAATATTTTTTTAATTAGATAAATAATTGATTTATTATGATAAAATAATTTGTAATTATTATTTATTTATATCATGAATAAAGCTATTTATTATTATTTCAGTTTTAAATAATTAATTGATATTTTTTTAGTTTTAATGTTGATTTTAAAAAAATTATTTTAACATAATTTTGTTAAATTTTAATATTACATTTTTTATCAAAATAATAGGTGGAAGAGGAGAGAGTAGAAGAATAAAAGACTTGTGATGAGAAAGAGAAAAAGAATGAGTAAATAAGGAATGAGGGAAAAGAATAAAAAAAATCTTAGAACGAAAGAAAAGAAAAATTTATCAATAATAAATCTGTATAATTGAGTAAATAAATTAATAAATATTTAATTTAATTTTTTAAAAATATATTATTTATAAGATTGATTCTATTTTTATTTTATAATTTTTGTTATTTATTTATTATAGTTTTAGTAAAATTAAGATTTATTATTTTTAATTGTATAATCTGTATTTAATCCAGTTTCATTGGTTTTGTTATTTTATTATTTAATTGGTTTGGTTTTATTCAAATGTAATCCATTTTAATATAATTGAATGAAAAATTAAAATAAACCTAAAATATATAATAAATTTGGTAAAAGAAAAAACACTTTAAAGGAAATTTCTCTATATCAATATTAGCATTTTAAATTATAAACTCCCTTATTTATTTATGTACTTACAAACTTTAATTGAAGATTTTAGTCTGCTCTATCAAACTATTATTTTTAAACTTTATTCTTCACTATAAAATGGATTAATAATTACGTAATAAAGAAAAAAATTAAAAGTTTAATTTAAATGCAATTAAAAACATAATTTTAAATTACATGAAAAATTAATTAAATTATAAATTATATCAAAATATTTAAATTTAATTTAGGTAAAAAAATATTTTTAATGTCATCATTATTTAGTTATAAAAATATAATAAGTTTATAAAAAAATAAAATTTGTTGATAAATTTAAAACTGTTAGTTGCTTTTTAATAATTTTATTTTAAAACAAATTAAGCAGAGAACATGTGGTGACATCATTTAATTAACATTGTGAATTTGCTTTTGAAGATAAAGATTAATTACATAAAATATTCTTAACAGGGTCATAGATAGATAGAGATATCTATTCATCAAACTTCTTCTAAGTATAATTAATATTTTTTTCTAAAAATAAATATATATTTTTTTTTATAAAAAGTTTGTTGAAAATTTTTATTTGATAAAGATTACTTAAAAAGGTTAGATTTGAGTAGTGAAAAAAAAAAAAATGGTTTACGCTGTCAAAATTCAACGAAACCCCGTGCGCGTGACGTGACAATGAAGGTCTCCTACTATCAGAAGGCTCCTTTCCTCCCTAACGAGAAGCTGCTGAGGTCACTCAATTAATATTTAATTAAAGATTCTTTCTCACCTTATAACATGTGTTTTGGTAAAAAATTCTTCATTTCTCATTCACCAATCTTGCCTCAAACAACACGGTCTCAGAAACATGGTTTCTTCCAACACCGTGGAGCTTCTCAGAGAGGAGATCCCCGTGAACCAACAACCTCTCACGTTGTCGGCACACATCAAAACCGGCCTCGTACTCGTCGACGTTGTCAATGGCTTCTGCACTGTTGGCGTTGGCAATTTGGTAACTATATATATGTGCATTATTTTTGTTTTTTGTTTCTGGTAATATAACTTGGCAAACCGATTCCATGAACCACGATTCTCCCTTGGTCTGTTTCGTCGACACGTTATGATAATTACTTGCTTTTTAATTAATTATTATATTTTTTTCATTTATTTTATATTATTATTATTATTACGTGGCGCAATTTCGGCTTTGCCACTTGTGGTGTTGCGTAGGCGCCGAAAGAACCAGATGAGCGAATTTCTCGTATGGTGAAGGAATCAGTGAGGCTTTCCAAAGCGTTCTCTGAGAGACAGTGGCCAATTTTGGCTTTCCTTGACTGCCACCACCCCGACAAACCCGAACCCCCTTATCCACCACACTGTATTATAGGATCGGGCGAAGAAAAACTCGTTCCTGGTAATTTCTTTTGGAATCTACTTAAATGGAATCTGAGTACTTTTTTTATACCATCGTCCAAGTGTAATTGTAAAGTCTACTTTTATATAGTAATCACTTTAAAAATCATATTTGACTCTTTATGTTAGATTGTTGTAGTTGTGCTGAGTTTTTGGTAGAGTCTTGTTGGAATGTTAGGTAGGTTTTGTTTTATGTTTGGTTTGTTTAGAAAGTGACTTGGTTTATCGGTTGAAACAAAGAGAAAGGAACAAGGAGAAGTTTCTATCTTGTCCTGTTTGTGTGCCAAACGTACCATATTTTCTTTTCCCCTTTAATATGAATTGAGTTCATTAAGACTATTGGGTTGGTTTGAGGATATGTGCTTATTAGTTTTTTGGTTTGTTTTCCTCTGAATTTATAGATCTCCTGTGGTTGGAAAATGACCCCAATGCAACACTCAGGCAAAAAGAATGCATTGATGGATACCTTGGGTCAACTGAGAAAAATGGGTCTAATGTTTTCATTGATTGGGTGAAAAATAATCAGATAAAACAGGTAAGCCTTTCCTTTGATATCGATTATCTGTTACTGTAGAAATTTTAAGCAAAAAAGTGCTAGGTCATTGGAGTAACTTATGTTGCACAAGAAACTTCGAACTTTGAAACAGGCGGTCTAAGACACTGGGTTTTTATGTTAAGGTTGGTTACTGTGTTATAGTTTTTACTTTCTAATTATGATTTTATTAGCTATATGTATTTTCTTCACGGGTACTAATCACTTTAGTTTTATATTAGTAACCAATATCTTAATAAGTTTAACTACACGAACCTATCCTTAATAAAGGATATGACAATTTACTTTTAATATATAGAAAGAAAATTATAGGATTAAAACTCACATTTGAAAAATACACAAAGTAATACTAACTGATAGGGTTAATAACTAAATAAATTAAAGAATAGGGACTAAAAAGAAAAATCCAAAATTTATTGTAGCCACCAAAACTCAAGTTAAAAATTAAAAGGACTAAACTTTGCTCTAAATCAACATATTAAAATCTTTTACACTGCTACTGTGTCAAAATAAAATATTATCTTTCCTCCTTGCCTCCACATCAAAATTGTCTAGACTTGTTATTGGCATAGGTTGAAATATTATTATATTCATCAGTTCAGAGATTTTTGTTGAGGTTCTTAGTGTCTGGGTTTTTCTTGTTACAGATTTTGGTTGCCGGTATATGCACTGATATATGCGTCCTGGATTTTGTCTCTTCTGTATTATCTGCAAGAAACCGTGGTTTCCTTCCACCTCTGGAAAATGTGATTGTGTCTTCCCAAGCTTGTACTACTTATGATTTGCCATTACATGTGGCCAAAACTAACAAGGCTTTTGTATCTCATCCGCAGGTATTTGGTCAAATTGAAGTTTAGCTTTTGCTGGAATACTTGATTTTTCAATGTTTGTTTGCTTGGATTTATATCTTTAATTACCCAAAGTGCACAACATAGAGTCAGAAGACAAGTTAGCTTTTCTTTTCTAGTGTTGGTTACGATTATTGTGGACCTTGCACCTAAATTATTTTTCAGAGTTGACTTGTATTACAGAAATGATCAACATAATCTCAATAGCCTGGAGTAGATATAATGAACAGAATCTGAATATTTAGATGTTGGGCGATGGAAATTAATCTGACAATAAGAAGCACGTAATTATATTATATCTAGGAAGGCTGACTTGTGCTGAGAAACATGTATCCGTTCTCTGTCACTATATGACAATGAACACTTCCCAATAACCTCTATATTTATGAGCTCTGATACTTTCTCCAGACCCTTTTTTGTTTACATCTGTTGGGCTAGGGAATAACTTTTGTCAGCCATAACATGGTTTATTTGTGACGGCCACATCGCAAGCAATTGTCATGCTGATCTTACATGATAGATTGAAAAAAATCAAACAGACATTTCTCATAAAATAGATGAATTCTGCCTTTCAATGCTTATTTATGAATTTATTCTTGTTTGATATGCTGCAGGAGTTGATGCATCACGTTGGCCTGTACATAGCCTCTGGAAGGGGAGCCAATATAGCTTCAGAGGTGTTATTTGAATAATTGAGGAATGTTATTGAATAAGTGAAAGAGCCTTAAGTGTTGATATACATAAGTAATTGAGGATTGGAATGACTTAGACATCAAGTGCAATGTACAGAATTGATTACTGTAAGAGCATTGAGTACTTGAAGAATGTCCCTAAATAAGAAAAAAATGTATACTTAAAAGCGTAGTGCTATCATCATTTCAAGTTTCTATTTATATTTTATTTTGATATAATTGATTTTTAATTACTTGTCATGATTGGGATAACTATGGAATGCATGGATTAATTGGTACAAGACCCTTCTAGCATATCTTATAGTTTTGAATGAATTCTCGGTATACGGTTATGTTGAATATTGGAAAGAAGATCACAAGCGATTCTCTCAAACATTTGCTACCAAAAAAAAGAAAAAAATAAATAAAAAAAAAAAAAAAAAAAAAAAAATATATATATATATATATATATATATATATATATAATAAAGCATTACAATACAAATGATAAAGATATAGAGATATTAACATTAGAATTGTGTTGATCATCTACCTAAGTGTCTTCTTGGTTAGTGTAGCGGCAACAATGTGCTGATAAAGCATAGAGGAATGCCACTTGTTAGCAACGTGATGCATTAATGAGAGTAGGTGTGAAAATACTTGTTGATACTACTCATCTGCCATACCATATAAAAGGACATATACTCTGTAATTTGTTGAAGGGATTGAGAAACTCGTATACATGACCAAACTAATGTAAGGCTCTTTCAAATATATAAACATAGAAATGACAGTCAAGTCAAAACAATAAAATTTAACATTGATTATATTTTGACATTCAACTTTTTGTATGGATTGTGACATTTTTAATTACATTCCAAATCAACATTTTAATATAATATCTCAATCAAAGCAAGGACGGTCCGATTGTGTGAAATGGAAGTTTATGTTGACAAATTATTATTTTTCAATTCTGATTTAATGTTTCTGTAGTTTTCGGTTTTACCTGTGTTTCAGAAAAAGCTAGTTTTAGTCTGAAAGTTTATAATGTCTACTTTTAGCTTATATTTGTTGTGTCAAATTTGGAGTTTAATACTTCTAATTTAAGCTCTTGATCCAAAATTGCAAAGTGTACAAAATTAAGATATCAAAGAATAATTTGACTCCTCATTCTATCTCTTTTTATTCTGTTTTGTTGTTGTCATGATATCAAGAGTTTCATTGATCTTTCAGGGCATGTGAAGATCAAATTTGCTCCTCCTTTTTACTTCTTTTATGTTCTATTTTGTTTTTAAGATGGTATCCAGAGTTTCATTCATCTTGAAAGGCATGTGAGGGAGAGAGAAAATCACAAATTTTGAGGGAGAACAAATCCAAAACAAAGAGAAAACAAAAAAAAAATCAAAGGTTGTGGGATATGATGGTAAATCGAAGCAATCTAGTTCCACTTCCATAAAATTTAAAATAACTCAAATGAGGAGTCATAATGACGAAGTGACAAAGGAAGACAAAGCACTGACTGATACACAAACAGCATTACATGATGTATTTATAAGATTCTCACTCTTGAAACTGCAAAAAAAAAACAGTGTGAAAGGAATTTCATGAGAATGAAAAAAATAAAAAGAATGCAAATCTTGAACTTGAGAAGAGAGTTTGAAACCATTTCTCAAATATTTTTCAAACAAAATTTTTAAGGTTGTAACTCGATTGCAGCTGTACTTTTTTTTAATTATCCTAATTTGGTATAATTATTTTTTCTAACTGTCCTTTAAAGAAATCAAGGACAGAAGTCCTTCTGTATATATACACCATGAGTAATATCAATAAAAAGTTATGAGAATCTTACTTCACACTAAAAGCCTTCTAGCTATCTTTAGAAGATTTATCATAGAAAGTTTGTTACTTAGAAGACAACATTTCTATCACAGTGCAAGGAGTGATTAATACATATATGATGAAAAGGGCACAAAATACAAAGGACAAACTGTAGCCTACATTTGGTAATACTTTCTGCCTATTTATAGACAAACACAATATGAATTGTTTCCTTTTAAGTAAGAAAGGCACCTTCAAATCTCAATACACTCTCTATCTAATGAAACTAGTATAGGAATTTGTCGAAGATGATAAAAGTTGAAGAAATGTGGTACAAATAATTTACATATGGCTTTATCCTCTATAAGCACGATATTTCCTATTCATTGCAGGGGTCATGCACGAGAAGATTGATTGTTTTTGTTTTTTTGGTTTGACACCAAAGATAAAAGACCTCAGAGGAACTGAGTTTGAATCTCTATTTCTCTGGGTTTTCTTAGAACTTGAGAGTCCAAATCGCTCATTCATCTTTGCAAGAGCCTTCTCACCATCAAGTTGGAGAGTTGTTACAAGATCTAGACCTGCTTGAAGTTCATCAGCAACTTTGTTGTTCTCTTGTTTCATGTTCAAAATCTCACCTTGGAACTTGGCTGCTTGATAGCTGGTGAACTTGAAGTCGTCATCTTCAGCACTGGCTTTCAGAGCCGCGGTTATCTCTTCTTGTATTTCACACAAGGAGGAGAATCTACATTGAAGTTCTTCCTTCAACAATGCACTGTTTTCCAACCACATCGATAGTTCATTTAGAATCTCTGAAAGGTGTTTACAAAGCGGTCTTGCATCTGATTTCAAAGAATATTTTGCGCTACTACTTCCTTCTGATGATTTCCATTTGTCCTCAATTCTTGATGCCTCAATCAGCAAATCTTTTATAGTGGTCTCAAATTTCTGAATCTCAGTAAAAGAAGTACTGAATTTTAACCAGAAGTCTAGGTTCTCCTCTAGAAGTTCGTCAATGCTCATCCGGAACTTCTCTTCAACGGCTGATATTGTAGGTTCAGTGTCTTCAACTTTGAAAAATTCCTCAATATCATTATTATCTAGTACTGGCTTCACTGAAGGTATTTCTCCAAAATCCTCCCTTCCCTCCAAGCTTTTCTGCAGAACACCTAGTTTCTGACGTAGGAGTCTAATTTCTTCATCTTTCAAGGCATTTGCAGTCTTCAATTCTTTCAACTGCAAAGATGACTCAAAGAGGACATCTTGATTTCTCTTCTCCATTTCTGCTAGTTTGGTCTTCATCTCATCGTAATTTTGAAGAGCATTAGTATATTCTGACAGCAAAGCTTTTTCCCTATCCTGCATTCCATTCAACAGTTGCTGCCAATTAGGTTCATCTTCTTTTGTCACTGCTTGCTCCTGGGAATCACCTTGGATGACCTGATTTTCAGCAGTAGTTTTCAAAGCATCCGTTGATTTTGTAATATCACTGCAGCTAGAAGCTGGAGACTTCCCTCTTTCTTTCAACTCTATTTGAGATTTGTTTTCCACTGGGTTTTCCTCTTTCATTTCTAGTAAATTGGTGACCTTAACATCATTTTCCTGTGAACCTGTGACCTTAACATAATTTTCCTTAGAACCTGTGACCTTAACATCATTTTCCTCTGAACCTGTGACCTTAACATCATTTTCCTTAGAACCTGTGACCTTAACATCATTTTCCTCTGAACCTGTGACCTCAGGCTTGCCATCTGGAATTACACTGTCTTTTACCAGCTCAGCAACCTTTATCTCCTTATCTGAATTTACAGTATGATCTACCACAGCAGTGGCCTTACTCTTCTCATTGGACTTTTCATCATTCAATAACTCACTATCTTGATTCAATGCATCTTGTCCTTTAGAATCATGTTCAGATTCAGCTTCTCTTGATGAATTCCTTTCTGTTAGTGATGTTTCGCTGACCATATCTGGCTTCACCTTTTGGACATTCTCCGAGGGTTGGGCATTCTCCGAGGTTTTGACATTCTCCGAGATTTTGACATTGTCCGAGGTTTGAACATTGTCCCAGGTTTGAACATTGTCCCAGGTTTGGACGTTCTCCGAGGTTTTGACATTGTCCCAGGTTTGAACATTCTCGGAGGGTTGGACGTTCTCCGAGGTTTTGACATTGTCCGAGGTTTGAACATTCTCGGAGGGTTGGACGTTCTCCGAGGTTTGAACATTGTCCGAGGTTTGAACATTCTCGGAGGGTTGGACGTTCTCCGAGGTTTTGACATTATCCGAGATTTGGACTTTTTCCGGGACGTGGACTTTCTCCGAGATTCGATCAAGATTACAATGTGCTTCAGTGAAATGGGTTTGGAGGTTGCCATTCTGGTCTTCAACAATTTGGTTTAGATCCAGTACCTTAAGCAACTTATCGTCCATTTCCCGTAGTTGCTCGTTCAATTTAGCTTTATCATTGACCAAACTTTCTTTATCGTCTTCTAAAGTTCGAACCAAGGAATTAAGATCTTCTGTTTCGTCATTTAACCTTTTTACAAGAGCTGTCTGGGAAGAGACTGCTGTTTCTAAGCTGATAATTTTGTTCACAAGTGTATCAATTTTTTCTGCCATATCTTTCACGGTTAGAGTTGAATAAGATCCAGCCTCAAAATGCTCTTTTATTTTCTCCTGCAATACCTTCATCTCATGTTTCTGCTGATTCAATTTGTCCAACTCTTCATCCAAGTCCTTTGTTCCTGCTATTTCTTTTACATTTCTCCTGGCCCTTGTCCCTTTGGAAGTGGTTTGATCATAATTGACTTGGTTCATGAGAGAACTTAACTTATCCCTCACTTCCTTTACTCTTTTAGACTCAACTTTGGTCTCATCAAGTGATTTAGCCTGTTTCTCTTCCAACTGTAACAATGTCTCTTGGCATGACTTCAGTGCTGCTGCTGCCATCAAACACCGGGCTTCCTCATCATCAATAGTAATACCTTCGCCAAGTTCATCTTGTAAATTGGACACTCTCTCTTGTAATGCCTTGATCTGGTTCTCAGTATCCCAGTACTTGGCAATGGCATTATCATAAGAACTCTTCACATATTCTTTCACAGTTTGTAACGTCAGAATCTCCTTCTGCAGCTTGTCCATCTCTCGAAGGGCCTCCTTTCTGCTTAATCCAGATTTTGGAGCTTTAGAAGCTGCAGCTGTGGGGGCTGCCTTCTTTTGATTGAGTTTCTTCGTGGCTGTTGTAATGATAGTTTTTAAATCTCTAAGTGGAGGCTTTGGAACCTTTGGAACACTTGGAATATTTTTTTTGCACCCGTCTCCCATTTTTCTCGGGGTTTTTGGTCTAGGTGAATCCTCTTCATCCTCATCCATATAAGGGACTTGCTCTGGGCACACAGAAGCAATGGTGTTGTTGGCATTTTGCAACTCTGTTGAAATGTGATCATACCTATCAGCTAAAGAACGGTATGCCCTGAATGATTCTTCCACGAAGTTTATCAGCTCTGGTCTCCTTTTGTAATACATTTCTGCTCTCTTGGCAAAGGAGTCTCCCTCTTCCTCTAGGAGCTTCAACACAGCGTGCACCTTTTCCTCCATATCTGCAGTTTTTTCCAATTTTTAGTTTGACAAGTGAATAGATGTATAAACTTCTCTATAAGCCCTTCTAAGAAGAGAAAATAAAATGAACTTCTCCTTAAAAAACTTATATAAGTGGGATGTGTTGATCAGACAATGGTATTTAAGCCGTTGCATGTTGCAAATTGTGGAAAGAAAATTTAATGTTAACTTTCTAGAAAGCCAATGAACATCCATCATCAAGTTCTTAAATTGCAAAGGCCGCCATCACAGACCATATTGCTCACATCATCAATTGAATCATCGGATTGCAATCATATATTTATCATTCTATTTTCGCGTGAGCAAAACATAATTTGAACGTTGAAAGGAATAATTAGCCAACAGATCATCAAATCTTACATGTTTATTCGTTCGTGACAAGTGAAAACAAAGCAGGCCATTTCAATCTCTCTCATGAATTTGCCACAAAGGTACCAAACCATGTGGCACAAACTCGCCAATAATGTGATATTAAGATCAACCCAAACAATTAAATTATACCATGAATTGGAAGGATTATAAGCAATCCATCCCTTGTCCGAATACAAGGAAGATAAATTAGGCTGACCTTGGAGGTTTTGCTCCATCCATTTTGATTGCTTTGTTCTGATATGGCTCGCCCACCACCATGAATATGCACTGCTTGCAGCTCTCTGTAACATGTTGGTTGTTTCTTCTTCCTATTCCTACTATCCCTTCCCACCTATAGTTGTTGTTTTTGGGATAAAAGAAAATGAGAATAAAAATTTCATTAAAAGACCAAGAAAAGAGAAAAAAAAATGACAAAAAGTTTTATCAGCAATGAGAAATAGATTTTTATGTTGTGTGTGAGAGAAGAAAGAACGTGGAACTCATAAGTTCTAGTTATGGAGGGGAGCAAACATCGCCCGAACTTAATGTCCCAACCCTCCTTTTTTTCAAAAAGCATAGCCAATGACCTATGCGCACATGTCCAACGAAGCAACTACCTACCAGCTTCTCCATAATCTTAGTTTCTAAATTTTAATTATTTTTAAAATACAAATACATTTAATTAATTTATGCCAAATTTAAAAACATATATATAAAAATTTGAGAGGTTTACATTAAAAATTACTAAAATAAAATAATTTAGGGATGAACAAAAAAAAGTAAATTTAATGAGACCAGCTCTTACATGTATACGTGAAAATATATTGGGTGATGCAAAATTTATTTAAATAGGTTTGATTATTAGATAAAAGATGGTTAAGATTTTTAATTTTATGTTTAACCAACAAACATATTACTTTAATAAATTAATCAGGGTGAAGTATTTGCTTCACATCTATAAAAATAATTTTTATTTTAATATAATAGGTTTATATATAAATTATTATACATGTACATGTTTTAATAAAATAATATCAGTTTATTTTTTTAATTATTATTTTATAAAATAAATTGATTTAGTGTAAATTTTTAAGATCATGATTTAAATGAGTTTTACGAAAAATCTCTAATTTATTTAATATAATTTTTATTTTTAATAACAATAAAAAAAATCGGTTACCTAATAATGTTATCTTGTGTAATTTTACTATTTATGGAAAGTTATTGAATGGGTTTGTTTTGAGGGATAGGCTTAAGTATATAATTATCCTTGTAGAAATAAATTTAGCTAATTTTATAAAAGAATAATTATATTTAATAAAGAATATCTAAAATTTAAAATTATTTGTTTATATATCCTAAATTTTAAAAAATACATATTTTATTATATAATGTTTCTTTTATCTTTAAAGAAGCCAGTTGAAATATGCCATTTGACATTATATGCTCATGTATAGTTAAGTTTAAACAAAATTTAATTGAGATATGTTTAAAAATTATAATAGACATATGTATCAATATTAGATTAATTAGAATAAATTAAATATTTTATGTTTAGAGATAATACTCATATATTTTCTTGAAGGAAAATACAATTTATTCTCATTTCAATAAAAATAAGATTAAACATTACAGGAGAAAATAAATTACTGTAATATATTAAAGGAAATAAACAAAACCATATATCTATCGTAATGTATATAAAAAGAGGGTGTAATTTACTTGAAATTAGAGTGATTAGCGCTGAAAAAAAAAGAGTCAAACTTCCTTAAAATATAAATATAAATATTTTAGAGTCATAACTCTATAATTTCTTAAAATAAACTATTTATCGATAATTTTTTTATATGTTCCAAATTTTCCTATTATAATTTATTTGGTGTCATTACAGAAACTGGTCCAATTTTGTTAGATGCCATAATTTTTTCAAAATTAATGTTGGTTGGTTACATAGAACTGGAGAAACAAAATGAGAAGAGGAAAAAAAATCAACAACTTGCATTTGAGAGAAAATAAAATAATTAACAACTGTGAATGATGAAAAAATTATATTAGGTCCAAAAAATAAAAACTAAGAAGTGAAAACTTTCTTTGTATCTTTTCTAGTGCTGAATATCGACAAAAGTGACATCTACAATGAACGAAGAGACTAGACCACAGGTTCTGGGTGGTGGTTCTTATTCTACTCTTTCATGGGTTTTGTGAGAAATGTCCAAAAGATGATGTATAAGCTTCAAAACTCTCAAGAGAAGCCAGCCACTGTTCCATGTAATTCTTATCACCTACAATTATATCCAATCACAATTTCAAAATGGCATAAACAATTAACATAAACATCTCACAACACAAATTTCTCCAATACTTAAAAAAAGTTATTTATAAATAAAAATATTATTTACATATACCTTCTTAAAATTAAAAAAAAAAACTCATTTAATATATATATATATATATATATATATATATATATGATTCAAAATTAAAATAATTTTATTTTTAAATTATCAGGATTAAATATTTTCTTATGGGGTTAAATCAAATTAAGAAATCAGGGCATAATTTTTTCCTTTATCATTAATGTGATTTTAATATTGATTATGGGTAAAAAAATCTTTAATCTGATATCTTTCTGTTATTATTATTTTTTTATAAAAAGGGATTTTTAAGTTAAAGAAAACAGAAGACAGATGCAAAGACTTAGAAAACGAAAATTAACTTAAAAAACAACCCATATCTTTAAACAATTGAAATCAGAGAGGTAAGTGCTCAGAAAAGTGCAGTATAGAAAGAGGGTGACCAAATTCTTATTCAACTATCATATGCAAGTTCACCAAGTGTAATTAATTTTAGGAATATCTAATGATTTTTAGACACATAATTGCATTTCACTTACCACACAAAAGTTATGAATTTTCAATATATAATACATTTTTTTCTTTTCTTTTTGATTTGTCCAATACCTCTCCATGTATTCACTTTATCCCTGAATAATCTCTCAGCACCAGTATAACATAAAATAAGAAGTCCAAATGTATCACACAACAGTCCAATACTAAACAAATGATGGTCTATGTAATTTACCTCTACAACACACAGATCCTTTTAAGAAAATGTTTGTCCTCAACTTTTAAAATAAAATTAAAATAGAATTATTTGACTAAAAGAGCATATAGATTTACCAGAAGAACAATCTTTAGAGAGATTCTTGATCACATCCAAAGTGCCCTTGTTTGAGACCCTCACTTCCTTGCACCTAGCTGTATAACTAGGAACCAGCACTGCAAAATCATCCCCATCATCATTGCTTACAAAATTAGAACGAAGAGGTTCCAACCACCCAATGGACCAATCTAGGTCATCAGATTCACAATCAAACAAGCACCAATCACTCCAACAATCATCACTGCAACGATCATCCTCGTATGACACCAACACAACATCACCATATTCCTCGTACACTTTCTTCACTTTTCCATCATTGCTAACTTTCTTATGAGATTGACTCGTATATTTTTTTTCAACAAAACTATATTCTGCAGAGGCTTTAGAAATCTGATCTTTGGTCTTACCCTTCCTGGTCCACCAGGCCAAACTACTAATAGAGATTGTCATACTTCTTATTCCAACTCCAACATTTGCTCAAACATTTATAGAAAATATTGTGTCAAGATGTCTCAACAGTCGAGACACAAACAAGTTTCACAAAAATAATTAATTAAAAACAAATATTTGGAAAAAGTAAAATTATATCAAAGAGGTTTATGTTAAAATCACATCTTCGTTCCCAAAAATCAAAATTATTAAATTTTTTTCAAAATTCCAATACCAATTTAGTTAATACTGTCTCTTTGGATATCCCATTATGATACAATTTTACAAAACCCAATAAAAACAATTTGAAATTCCAAGAAAAACGATTTAAAATTCCAAATCAATTTTTTTAATAAATCAAGAAAACTTAACCTAAAAATAAAATCATACAAAATGAAATCAAAACAGTTAAATTTTTAAAATTGACTCATATATATTATTAAAAAATTTTATTGGTTAAATGAAATATGTAATAATAATAATAATAATAACAAATAATTAATTAATGTTCATTATCAATATGTTATCGTCTCCCTTGTCAAATTGACAGTAAAAATATTTTGATACTCTCGATATTTAATCAGTTTAAGAGATGTAGAGATTATTGACTATTACTCAATACTAACACTTCCAAAGTAATAACCAATCAATCACCTTGAAATTTATAAATTTATTTTCAAATTGAAATATATATATATATATATATATATATATATATATATATATATTATCATTTTGATTTATTTGAAGTTTTACAATTTATTGAAATACTTATTATTATTATTTTGATTTATTACAAGTTTTATAATTTATTGACATACTTTTAATATATAATTATTGATGCATCTCTTTTGTTGTTTATAATATAAAAATATATTAAAGTAATTTATTCTATAACTTTTTTATATTTTTATATCATTCTTAAAATTATAATAATTATTTTAATTATATTCAAAGATGAAATATAGTTTTTTAGAATATTTAAAACAATTATATTATGTTAATAGAAACAAAAAAGTTATTTAGAATAATTATTTAAACTAAATATATTATTATTTTATGTTATAATATTTTATTTTAAAATATAATTATTTTATAAACATGATATACTGAACCTATTATTTATTTAAAAAAGAAGACGAATATTCAATGTATATAATAGTATAATTTATGTATTTTTTTATTGTCTTATATTTCTTTTTGGTCGTTTTATATTAGTTATACCAAAAAATTGATATATGAAATGTAAATTTTATTAGCAAGATTTTTACTTAACACTAGTAAGTTTATGTATTTTTTATTATAATAAATTAAAATTTAATATATATATATATATATTAATTTTAAAATATAAATAATACTATATGTAAAAAAAATATTAGATAAGAGAAAGAATAAAAGAAGAAAGTGTCATCTAAAGAACACAAGAAAAAAATCACAAATTTTATTTATTTTTATTTTTATTTAAGAGAAAAATATTAAAAAGATGGTAAGATTGGAAAATTAAAAGAAAAAATATATAAAATAAATATTTTATTAAAGGATTAATTAAAATTGATAAAAAATAATCATAAAAAATAAGTAGTTTATATCTTTCATATTTGTAATTTATTTTAAATTATATTTTATAAAATTCTACTTTTTCTATATTTTATTTTTTTTATTTGTATCCCGTAATCTTTATTTATTATATATATATATATATTCATTTCTTTTATTTTTCTAGTATGTAATATTAATTAATTATTTAATATCATAATAATTTCCTTTTTATATTCTATCTTTATTTTATAAAAAAGAACTCATTTTTGTATAATAATATATTTTGAATTGAGAATTTGATATAAGAGAGTATAAAAAGAGAAAAATAAATAAAATAAAATTATTTAAAGTTAAAAATAATGAAAAGTAAAAAAAAGTGAGAAAATATTTTAATTGATAATATTAATTTGATGGATAGAATTAATTAAATAATAAAAAAATTAATAAATAATAAAAATACTTTTAATATAAATTTAGTAAGACTAAATATAAAATAAAATTAAAATGTGATTTATTTTTAAAATAATATTAAAAAATATTTCAAAATTAATTAAATATAAATTACGTATAATTTTTTCATATATTAATTATTATTATTATATATATATATATATATATATATTCCAAATAAAAAATTAAAAGTACACATCAAATTCATAAATATAAAAATAAAAATTTATTAATAATTTTTAGGACTTCAATGTTACTTTAGAGACCGACATATATAGTTTGTATAATTAATTTATTTATAATTTTAATATTTATTTTTTATCTTTTAAATATATTAAAAGCTTTTATTTATTATGATTTTTTTCTTTTTAAAATATGAATCTTAATAATCTTGTTTCCTATATTATACATCTCTTTTAATATATAATGATATATTTAATAAAAAATAATATTATTTTATAAATAATAATATAAAAAAAGTTTTTAAAAGGAACATTTTAATTATATTTAAATTTTTTTAATATTTTTTTCTGATTTTCTTTTTGAATGTATTTAAAATATTATTTCTCCACTAATTTTACTTATGATATTTTTTTATTTTTTAAATACATAAATTATAATAAATATTATTTATTTATTTTGATGTATTTGATAAAAAAATATACTATATTATAAATTATAAAAAAATTAAAAGTATCATTGTATATTGTATAGATAAAAATATAAATCATAATAGAAATTAATTGTAAACCCTAACAAAAATAATAACTGTTTTATCACTTATTAAAAATAAAAAACACTTATAAAAAAGAGAGTAAAAAGCATATTAGAAGATACTGTAAAAAAAATAAAAAGGAAAGACTTAATTTGTGACGTATGCCTTATATTATATTAATATTACTGTGCAAGAAAACTTCGTAACGAAGTTTTCCTCATGCACAGTAAATTTTTTTCTTATATATGAATACTGAAGTGGGGAGGAGGGAAATCAAAAATTTTCCTCTCATCCTTCTTCTTCTATTGTCTAAATTTCAAGCAACGAAACTCTGCTCGTGCAGGATCCGGTGAAACGGGAGAGAACCTGAATTAAGTGGGAAAGCTTCGGTAGAAATACCATACCAAGTAAGGGGAAGTTTAATTCATTCAATATATGAAATTGAATTGTTGGTACTCTGTAAATAAGGAATAGGAGTAGAGATATGAATGATTGGAATGTATGATTTTGAAGAATGTGTGATTTTGAAGAATGTCTGTTGGAGAATTTCTGATTTTGATGAACTGTTCATCGTTTAAAAGTTTTAGAAATTCTTGAAATTAAGGATGAATTATATAATAAAAGTGTTGTTTTTAACTTAAATTGAACATATTTATGGTTAAATTTTGATTTGGAACTAATTTGGGTGATTGAAACTGAGAAATTGGAAATCTGGAATTCGAAAATGGCGAACTGGAAAACCTGCAAAATTCGCTCAAGCGAACATACGTCGCTTGAGCGAAGACACCTGAAAAATTTGGGACTCTCGGGATCCATCTCGCTCAAGCGACTAGTGTACTCGCTTGAGCGAAGGATGTTTCAAACAAAGGGGACTCCCGGGTCAAGTCTCGCTCAAGCGACTAGTGTACTCGCTTGAGCGACGGATGTTTCAAACAAAGGGGACTCCCGGGTCAAGTCTCGCTCAAGCGACTAGTGTACTCGCTTGAGCGACGGATGTTTCAAACAAAGGCGACTCTCGGGTCATGTCTCGCTCAAGCGACTGATGTACTCGCTTGAGCGACAAAGCCTTCAAACAACGGGGATGCTCGGGTTCTATCTCGCTCAAGCGACCGGTGTACTCGCTTGAGCGAGAGAAGGAAGAAGAAAGGGATATGGTGTGGATTTTTTTAAAAAGATTAAGGGCAAAATAGTAATTTAATGATTTTGAAAATGATTTCGAAAATAGTTCGGAAATGATTTCGGAAATGATTTTTAGGAAAATATATATATAAAGAGAGAGAAAGAATGAAAATAGAGTATTGTGACATGTGTGGGTCGAGGCGAGCTCGAGGGTCGATGCCCGAATCGATCCCGAGACGTTATATATTGGCTAGAGCGAGCCGGAAGGTTGGTGCGAGAATCGAGTCAAATACTATTTTTATTGACTCGAATGAGCCGTGAGGACAGGTGGTCCAGAATCCGGCAAATGTGAATAAATTTTTGTTATGTTTGAATGGTACCGGGGTGGTACGAGTACATTAGTATAATAACTATGTCGGAGGATTCGAATGAGGTCCCGAGACTTCAGCGATTGGTCGGGTCGGGTAGACTACGAGATCGGGTGGTGAGAAGTCGATGGGGGGATGACTGGTGGCGCGCTCGGAGGGGTACTCCGGTATGAGTGATGAAGGGCGCCGGTAATCCTACTCTGTGTGGAGGGTGGTCGAGAATGGTGCTGCGGTGCCGATCACGATGTGCCCACAGATGATAGCCTCGAGTTCGGGCATAGTTAGGGTATACTTCGGAAGGTGTCTTAGTGTGTTGATAATTTCGTAATTGATCATAATATGTAATTATTACTTTTATATCTGTTTTATTATATCGAATGATTTAATACTTACCCCTATTTTTTCCATGTGGATGGGACTGCGATGATCACTTTTATGTGGGAGCAGATCGGGAGTTGAGAGATGGTGATGGGACTACTTGGACGGCAGGGATAGTTCGAGTGGGATAGCTTCGAGGAGCTACTTGTTACATGTATAATGTATAAATAAATGATGTTAATATATTTTGAAGTTCGTTAGTGAACTGGAATTTCAATATATGTTACAATTACGATAATATAATGTAAAATAAATGTTGTTATTTACTTGTTTACTACTTTGCGAAGACATCATTATAGTAGCGATTTCTAGGGTCGTTACAATAGTGGTATCGGAGCGGTAGTATCCTTGTAAATCGTGGGGATGGGTAGTGAATCTATGATAAGTCCGTTGTGATTATACTCGATTGTGAGTGCGTGAATGTTTGTTCTGTATTGATGGTTGCATTT